TGTGTATTATTTTGGGAATGGATTGTAATTCCCTCCTTATCTCCTTTTGGGAGTGGCTTCTTGTCTTGTGACTGCTTCTTGACCTTTTCCATCTGCACGTACACACTGATGTCATGCAGCTCCGGGCCACATGTAGGTTTGTGCAACCTGGACTTGTGCTGCCTTTGTCCAGGACCCCTTATAATGAGCCTCAGGCTGGAAGGGGTGTGTTCTCTCACCCCAACCCGCTGCCATTGGTGCACTCCCCTATAATGTGAGTAATAAGTAGTGTGTCCACATCTGCTAGTCCTCAAGGTGGTTGTTTGTTTGTTTTTTTAATATCATGAACACTTAAGCAGCTCCCCAGTTTGGGGCTACTGTGCTACATCTCCTTTGCATGGGTTGGCCAAGGTTATTGTCTAGGCAGCTAGAAAATGAATTTGGTCAATAATAGTATGGTACTGACTCCTTACCAAGGCTTAGGAACTGCAACAAAGTTCCTCTGGCCATGTCTGTTAAAGGCTACGGCCAGAGCTGACAAAGGGCTGACGTCAGGTACTGTTCAGAGCTCCTCGAGATGATTGAACCATGGTAAGGACTACTTGAATGGGGGTTAGACTGGCAACTTCCCCCAAGTTGAATAGGATATGTCTTGCTAGAGCAAGACATATAGAGCGAGGTGTGCCCCAGCCAGCTAAAGTGGTCCCTGTTGATTCTGTTTAAATCTGGGCTCAAATGCTTTGTGGACAGCAACTGACACCAAGATAACCTGAGGCCACTTAGCATGGTCTTTTGTCACCTTGCTCTCATTGCAAATGATCCCAGCAACTTCATCCCTTGTACAATGTGCCTGATATTCACCTCCTACATATAACCCACAAAGCGCAAACAGTGTTCACTGAGATGATGCCAGGGTACTGGTTATAATTAGAGGAAAGAATCTCAGGATACATTGGGGACCTCAAAAAAGAGAGGACTTTGCCCTGAACTATAGGTATTGTAGAGATCCTTTGATATCAAGTTCTTACCTTGGCTTTTCTGGCCTTGGAGGATTTTTTTCAAAAGTTCAATCTAAAGATTGCTTATAAAAAAAATTTAGCAAAGCACAGTTTGAAGTGCCTATATGGTTAATTACTATTCTTGCTGAACTTATACACATAATCAGGCCAATTTTATTGAAATCAGACTTATTTTGCAAATAAAGTAGTGCTAACGTGGCTATCTTTGGTAAAAATAAGGGTCATTTTTAGAGAGAAAAATTATATTTCAGTAGAAGTGATGTTCATTGTCTTTTGAGTTTTGTTTTCTTTTCTATTTATAAAGTGGACTGGATCCTGAATTCTTCTAGTTTCCTCCAGTATCTCTCTGTGACTCTCCAAACATGTTTCCAATTTTTCTCCCATCCTTTGACTTGGAATCATCGAGAACTAAAACTGCCCTTTTCCTGCGTGTTGCAATTATAAACTGCAGCTACACTACAAGCTACCTAATAATCAAAACGATGATCATCATTATGGCTTACGTACCAGGGCATAGAACAATAAAATTTATTCTTTATTCCTTATCTCAGATTATGGTACAGGTATCCTGGCCTGCTGCTACCCCTACCATAGCTCTGGTTTCTTCTTCTAAAGTGAGTCTTTGGTAAGACTCAGGGACCATTGTGGATGAGGTGGGCACATGAGACAGTAAGAACCAGATAAGAAGGGCACAATGGGTGGACAAATCTGACTCCATCTTGAAGCTAATCCTCCATCTTAATTGAATCTGGACCCAGTTGCCCTGTTAACTTCAAGATTGAGGAAGGAATAACAAAAGGGGGAAATATGTAACCACAGAACCAGCTCAAAACAGTCCTATCCTGCTTAAGGAGATACTGAGCTGTTTTATAAAGACAACAGACTAAAACTGCAAGTCATGCAGCTGACGCATGCTCAGAAAAGAGAACTTTGACTTCCAGCTGCACCCAAAACCAGTGGACCAAGACAAAACCAAAACCTGAACACCAGGACCCTTTCAGAAGCAGAAGGCCCGTTGTAATGACATCCCCTATCATAAATGGCCACGCTCCAAGGTCCTCCAACTGAAACTCACCTTGCTAGTGCTTCTGCGTACCTGTCCCCCTTAACTCCTTAAAAATCCTCCTCCAGGTCTAGATCAGGGAATTCAGGCTTTTGAGCAGCTTCCCCTGCTCCTTAGTGGCGCCATTCATAAATAAAATAGCCAATCTTTCTTCACTGCAATTCTCAATGTTTAGTGTTGGGCTCTGCTCGTGCCAGTGGACAAACTCTTTCTGTTCTGTAGTACATGTCGACTGAAGCTATGATGACTGAATTGAAAATACTATACTACTCTTCAATTCCCTGACAGCCAAAGATGAGAGGAAAATGAAAGTGGCCATGTAGCTCTCAGAAAAGGCACCAGCTCAACAGAGAGTTATCTAGGGTTAGCTTTTAGAAAAACATGCAACCAGGTCTTTTGTTTGTTTCTAGTGGGGAAGAGGAGAATTAGGAGAAAGGGAAATAAATTTTTAAAGGAAACAAACCAACCAGTTTTTCAGATATAAATAAATAAATAAATAATAAAACTTAACTACAACTATATATCAAGTTAATTTTTTTCAATTAACATATTTTGTGATTAACTTAGAAATGACCTAGGGTTAACTGTTACTCTGTCTGCCTATTCAGAGTAAGTTTCATTTTTGAAGGACTGTAGAACTTTATTGATAGTGCTGCAAAGCCCACTTCACTTTCAATTTTTCAAATAAAAATAGACCAAGCTGTTGGCAAGACTCATAGCTAGAATCCATTAATGGATTCCTTCCAAAATAACCATCCTATCAGGCCTACTCATTCTTAACTCCTTGCTTTTGGGCTTAAGAAAGAAAAGTTTATAAAGTAAATAAGTAAAACAAATACAAATTCATTTGATTTAAATATAGTTGTAAAATTTTAAAAAGCTTTTACATAAGAACACTTTTTAGGAAAAGAACTTGCAGAGAAAATCTTTCCTTTTGTTGCTGCTTAACAGACAGAAAAAAATGTATTTGTAATATCAAAAAACTATTAACAATGCTAATTCTTTTTTTTATTGTGGTAAAATACATGTAACATAAAAGTTACCATTTTAACCACTTTAAGTTTACAGACACATTGTATATAGCCATCACCAAGCTATTGGCTCAGCCCAAAACTTCATTTGTTACCTACCCACCACTGCCCCCCACCCCTGGCCTTTAGGATGGCTCTAGTAGCACTTAGTTGTCTTTAACTTCATCCTAAACTATTTCGTTAGATTGCATTGTTACAGCTGTCATATCAGTGTGTATTTTAAAAAAAACTTATCAAAACTGGTGATTTTTTGTGTAGCCATTTTAATATTGAAGATGGAAGAAAATAAGCAACATTTTCGGCATATTATGCTTTCTTATGTCAAGAAGGGTAAAAATGCAACTGAAACACAAAAAAAGATTTGTGCAGTGTAGGAGAAGGGGCTGTGACTGACTGAATGTGTCAAAAGTGATTTGTGAAGTTTCTTGCTGGATTATCTCTCTCTGGGTGATGATGCTCCAGAGTCAAGTAGACCAGCTAAAGTTAACAGCAATCAAAGAGACAATCATTGTTATACCATGTGGGAGATAGCTGACATACTCAAAATATTCAAATCAGTAGTTATTGGTGAAAATGAAAAATGTGTCTTTTATTTTATGGAAAAAAACACATGGGCTTTTTGGCCAACCCAGTACTTTTTTTTAGTATATCCATATGTTACATTCATTGTCAGCACTCACAGCTCCATATTGTTTTCCTAAATAACATTTGCCACTGGAGCTTCACATTTTCTTACCTAACGGAAAAAGCATGTTGACTAAATAAAAGAGTTATTACCATAATAGATTTTCTAACCTAAGGTTTCTATGACATCAGTAACCAAATCCAATTTTTTAATGACTATACTAATAAATGAACTCAGGCTATAAACTTGGATTTATTTTTACAAATGAGTACCAAAATCCAGATATGTGTAATATGATCACAAATGTTTCTTAAAAGTAAACTGTTAAGTAAATATGTTCCTATAAATTATTCCCATTATGGTTCAATAATATAGGCTGAGGGCAAAGATGGGCCAAAGAGCAGGAAAAGAAGATATATTACAGATATTTCAGAGCCACGTATAATCAAAAGCATACCCCATCATATAGATGCTTTATGTTTTGCTCTTCAGAGAAGAATCTTCTAAGTTCCTTGACAGGCATTTCTAGGTAATGACATATTAACCTGTAGCTAGCATTAAACGAATGAATTGTAAGAATAGAGACTGGAATTGGTGATAAGTAATTCACCTGTTTAATATCCACTCCAACTAACTGGAGCAATTTGGCCTTGGCATCTTACTTGGATTTTAATAAAAATGTCTTCATTTCCAAGTCATTCCAAATTAGGAGATATTAATTAATCAGAGATTGACTAAAGCAACATTTATTTGTTTCAGGAAGTATTTAGTGTAGCTTGTTTGGAAAAGTGATATGATCTTTATTCTTTTCAGTAGATCCCTCTAATAATCACTAAGATACACCTGCTATAAATTGGGGGTGGGGGTGATACACAAACACAACCAACAGCTGACAATCCTCAGTTAGCAGTCTTTTTCAAGTTTAGAGGGCATCTACAGTTCAACTCATATACACAAAGCAAGAGTTACATCTTCAACATAAATGAAAACTACTGTCATTGAAAAATAAAAATGACATGAATTAAAAAAAAAAGAGTTCATACTATGCGGGAATTAGTACAATCTTACCTTGAGGATACCAGAAATGGGTAAAATATACTTTTCTTTAAAAATTCAGGTCAGCCCTTTGTCCCCCAACCATATTGGCAAACCATTTCCCACCTTTCCCCCACTCCCACCTCCCCCAAAGTGACTACAACAAATGCTTTGCTCCCCCAGTCCCTTTTGTCTCATACACCAAAATGAAAGAACCCTGACTGAATTCAGTATCAGTCTCTTCTTACCCTGCCAGGAAAGCTAAGGTGTAGGAGTTGTTCTTAGAAACAAATGCAGAGCGATGTGTCTGTGCCATCTTGCCTTGGAAAGGCTCTTCATTCTCTGAATCTGAGAGACGTGCAGGACACTGGCAGGAGAGAAAGAAGACAACACTGTCCATTTGGGGTTCCCATTGAATCTCCAGTAACTGTTGTTTTAAATTTCACTATTAACTGTCACTTCTGTCTGAGCTACAAACTATGTTTAGGTTTCCAACTGCCTCCTGGAAATCCCTATCTGGATATCCCAAATGTAGCTCAAACTTAATATATGCAAAATCAAACTCACTATGTATCTTCTCTAAGCCCCAATACCAATCCAGCCAGAAGCCTCAATGTCACCCATGACTCTTTCCCTTCCTTTGAAGTCATAATAACATTGTGTAGAGGTTTTGAATACTCTAGCACTAACAAACATTTTATTTCATTTACTGTTTATATCAGCTCTATTAAGAAGGGGTTATTAGCTGTTTACTACAGATGGAAAACTGAGACTCAGAGTAGTTAATCTGTCTAGGATTGCAGAATTAGTGAGTAGCTAACACTGGTACTTAATCTGGAGCATCTGTCTCCAAACTGCCTCCATATTACTTCCACCACGCTACCTTCACTCTACTCCACTCTGCTGATACAGTGTCTCTCAGATCTAACTCATCCCACGTATGCTCCATTGTCATTGCCTTTCCTTACATTTTTATCATCTTCCTGGAATATTGCAATAATCTACTTTCTGGTCTCATTTTCTTTGGCCTTTTCCCCCTCCAATCCCCTACATACTATCAAGCACACAGACAGAATCCTGCTTAACTATTGGTGACTTCAGGATAAAGTCTAAATACCTCAGCATAATACAATAACCTTCAAAACTAGACTCAACTTTCTTTCATAGCTTTTCTCACACCAGTTCCCACACAGGGAACTCCTTGAGCTCTAGTACAACCAGACTACTTTCTATTCTCCACATGCAACATTAAAGTCTTTTAAAACCTCTATTCTTTTGGACATGCTATTCCCTTTGCCTAATATTCCCCTGTCTAATATTCCCCTTCCACATTCTCTGCCTATTAAATATTCATTGGCCTTTCAGATCCATCTTAAATGTCACTTTATCTGAAAGGGCTTCCAAATACCCCCAGAGTCAGCTTTTTCCATTTTGTTGATATTCCTTTACCTTCATTTTATATGAATTTCTTTTTGAGTCTTTCAGTTTACATTTGAAGTTTTTTTTACATGTGCCTTTTACATCCAACATACAGTAAGGAGATGACTCATGGTTCAATACAACAGTCTTCTTTTTAGAAACTAATCACACTGAACTATAGCTTCTTATTTAAGACCCTGTCTTCTGCTTTAGACAATAAACTGTGAGAACAAGTGACTATCTTTGCTTTAGGACTCCCAATATCATTATAAAGCAGGTAAATAAAAAATGTCTAATCACCTGATGATTGACCAGTTATTTAATGATCAAATGACTACCAATGTGAGAGTTATAAACAGAGGCACACAAGGTATCATCTTGTGGCTCAGAGTACCCAGCATTCCTTAAATGCTTTGTTATTCTCTGGGTTGACAGGCACATACATACAATAGGCTATTTTTTAATAGTTAGCCTTTGAGAAATAGTTGAAGAATTACAGTTTATAAGGAAGCTTTCCAATTTTGTAGGGTATCACTCCTTAAAGAACCCTACTATACAAACCGTTCACTGGAGAAGCTTTTTAACAGTACTAACCCATTATCAAATTTTATAAAATATTCTCTTCTCAACTCTGAGAAAAAGGTTTGACATCTATATACTCAACAGGGAATAAATAATGGCAATTTCTATTTAGGTGTTTCCACATAATCAATTCGGTGCCAAATAAAAGAATGTTCAAATCCCAGCTCTCTTACTTATCATGGTCACTGTAGGTAGTTGTAAAACAACTAAAGATAAAATCTGAGCCTCAGTTTCCTCATCTACAAGATAAAGATTGCTCTACCTACCACAAAGATTGTGACAAACCATTAAAAGCACTTAGAACATTAACTAACAAGTAGGAAGTAGTCAAGTAGTCAAAATATAGACTTTATTTTTGTCCATTTAAATACTATTAATCTTTTAAGAAAAAAACCAGCATTATAATAAATATACACTAGGTTCCTTATAATTATTGAAAAATAGATTTACATTATTATAAATAATTATATAAATAAAAGTTACCCCTCATCCCTCTATATTTCCACCCTGATAAATCTAGAACCTTAAGATAAAAAATTTTTACCTCTTATCTTTCCCTTTAGGTAAAAATAAGCCAATAGCATTATGAATTCCTAAAATGGTGTAAAACATGCATAATAAAATACCTTAAGTGATTTTTTTTAATTTACCTAAAAAAATTAAAAGAATGGTGATACCCAGAGTTGACAAAGAAGTGAGGAAATTAGTACTTTCTTAACTATTGGTAGGAGTATAACGATACAAAAACTTTCAGTAGGTCAAATGAATAATAAGTACCAACAGTCTTAAAAGGACACTCCCCTTGACCTGGTCACTTCTGGTAATTTATTCAAAGGAACTAATCTCAGTGGAGGTTTAAGACAGCAAAATATCAACAGGAGATTAATTAAATTAGTTCTACAGTAAAGAATACTAAGACCACTAAATAATGATGTGAGATTTTTTATTTACATGGAATGATATCCACAGTTTAATAGTTTATTTTAAAAGGTTTAAAACAGTATGTACACTGCATTACATTTTCTAAAAATAAAAAATATATGCAGTATATAAGCTCTTAGAAAAGAAGTCTGGCAAAACATTTACTCAAATATTCATAAGGGTTATCTCTAGGTTATGGAATGACAAGCAATTTTATCACTTTGTGCTTTGTAATATTTGGTACAGCTAGAATTTATACCAAACTGTTTTCCAATAATTCACATTATCATTTATATTAATTGTACCATAATGATTCATAAATTAAACATTGTGCCCATTTTATTTATATTCTGAACAAGTTAACATGATAATCTGATTCCAGAATAAACACTTTCCTTCCTCTATTTGAATTCAACTTGATAATGTGTATCAAATGCGTGTGATATATGAGGCACTGCAAAAAATTTTAAAGCAGCTAAGACATTTCCTATACTCGAGGAACTTACAAATCTAGTAGAGAAATACAAACACACAGATAACCATAATGTAAGAGAGAATGAAATAAGTCCCGTAGTCCTGACTGGTATGGCTCAGTCAGTTGGGTGTCACCAGTTCATTCCAAGTCAGGGCACATGCCTAGGTTATGGGTTCAGTTTCTGGTTAGGCATATATGAGAGACAACCAATCGATATTTCCCTCCCTCTTTTCCACCCTCCAAAAAAAAAAGTCCTGCAAAGTTGCAAAGCAGGGGGAGGGAAGTTTAGAGGGGAGAGTGGATGATGAGAGTGAAGAAACAAGTGAGAAATACCTATAGGTTCCAGGCATATGACGGGTTTTGAACTGGACATGAAAAGATAAATAGCCTTTCAATAGGTAAGTTGGGTGACATTTCAATGAGATGAAGATGTGACATCAAAGACTCTAAGGAGGGAAAATACAGGATATGTATTTGGGGGCAAGCAAACAGCTCCATTCTTTAGAGTTTTTGGTATGTAAGCAAGGGAAGAAATAGAAGCTAGAATAATACTAAGGATCCGAATGTTGGGGTGAAGAGTTCTCATTTAATTCCACAGGAAACAGGGAGTCCCTGAGGTTTTAGGTGCAGAGAGTAAAATATTCAGGCCAGCCCTATTCATAACATTCTCTATATAAAATACAAACCTTCACCTGCCTTCCCACTGAAGTCTCCCTGAGCTTCTCTTTGGTCCCCATTTGATTGCAGCCTTAGCTCAAATAAATGAAATTATCTGTTCAAAACCAAAAATTCTTAAGACATATTTAAAGCAAAGTTAGAGCCATTTAAAAGTCCTAAAAATATAAAAGCACATAGAAAAAGGGTAAAAAAAAATCACAAAAATGTAAAACTTGAAGTATTCCTAGATCAGATTTTATTCAATGTGTTTTTACATAGGAAATTTTCCTAACTGGCTATTACCAATAAAAAACAGTCTGAGAATTTGTACTTACTGATTCCTTTTAAGATGAAAATTAGATTGATGCAACTGATTTCTATTTCAAAAATGACAGTTGCAAAGGAAAAAATCATTAGAGCAATTTCCCAGTCTTAACATAAATTAATACTAGAGATAATTTCCTGGAGAAAACCTGGATCTGGCAAGGCCAAAAACAGCAGGTTCTTTCTATTAAAAAAACAACAACAAAAAACCCATAGCAAAGGTAAGCGTGCTTCTGGACTGTTTTGCAAGACGGCCTTAATGGACAGTGCTGCTGGGGTGAAGTCACAGGCAGAATTTTAGTCTTTAGAGACCACAGACCATAGCTGGGGTTATTAGTCAGAACACATACTGAGTTGGCCAAAAAGTCTGTCATATTTTTTTCCATAAAATAGAAGATACACTTTTCATTTTCACCAATAACTTTATTGATTTAGGTATTTTGAGTATGTCAGTTATATTCCACTATTGTCTTCTAGTGGGAAGAGGCCAGGGGTGCTGCTAAACATCTTCCAATGTATAAGACAGCCCCACAGAAAAGAATTATTTGGCTAAAATGTCATTACTACCAAGAAACTTTGCAAACCACTTTTGACACAATCAGTCACAGCACCTTCTATATACACTGCACAAATCTTTTTGTGTTTCAATTGTGTCTTACCTTTCTTAAAATAATAAAGCATAACATGCCAAAGGTGTATCTTCTTACATCAATATTAAAATGGCTGCACAAAAATTCACCAATTTTGATAAGTTTTTAAAAAATGCATGCTGATGTGACAGCTGTCACAAGACAATCAAACAAAATTGTTTTGAACGAAACTAAAGACAACTAGGTAGTAGTAGAGCCATTGTACCGAAAAAAACTAAAACATTTTGGCCAACCCAATACTATATGCACAAGACTACCATGTATTTTACTCTTGCCTTCCTAACCAAATATTTTCCCTGGTAGTAGTCTTTTTCCTTTTGTAGTTCCCAATGAACAGTGCATTAAAAATAACAAGCATTTTATGTTTGTTAAACGGAATCTTTTAGAAGGTTGAAACTGTATAAAAAATGCAAGTGGTTGTTTTTAGTAATAACTAAAAAATTAAAATTATTATTATAGCTGGATTCAAAAAGCTCCACATGCCTGTTGATAATCAGCAAATACAATCAATCCAAGAAAGCTTAAATAATTTAACTTTCTGAAATTCAGAAAATGCCTTTACAAAGAGTACATCAAAAGCACAGAGCAATTAAATAATCTGGCCAAGGTTATACAGTCTGTTTTAATGCTGGGACCTATCTGAGACAGACTTCTGAACCAGAGATTTTTCCCCCCTATTCTGTTATATTGTCGGTCTTTATATAGAGTAAAGCTTTATTAACTCTGGTTAATTAGAAAAATAAATGAAATACTAACAAAACTGAATCACAAAATATTTTAAAAGATATGATTCTACAGATATGCTAAATACATACAGCAAGCAATAAAAAGATGTACAATCCAATAAGACTAAGGAAAAAAACCTCAATTGTAATGACCGATCTGAACTAATCAGTACACTTCGCAAAATGCTTTCTTCTTTGAAAGATTTTATTTATTTATTTTTTAGACAGAGGGGAAGGGAAAGAGACAGATAGGGAGAGAAACATCAATGTGTGGTTGCCTCTTGCACGCCCCCCTACTGGGGACCTGGCCCGTAACCCAGGCATGTGCCCTGACTGGGAATCGAATCAGCAACCCTTTGGTTCACAGGCTGGCTCTCAATCCACTGAGCCATACCAGCCAGGGCCCAAAAGTGCTTTCTTATGTAAGTTAAAATATACCACTTACAACCTTTTCCAGTAATTTACTTGGTAAATAAGTAATGAAAAAAATTCAGGCAAGATTTGGTACAATTAAAAGTCTAATTAGGTTAAGTTTAAGCATTATAATACAATCTAATACCTTATGTCTAGCACTGTGCTGCTTAGGGCATTATAAGGAATAAAGGGAAATTCAAGCTTTAAGGAAATCTAGTAGAGGATATAAGATACATAGAACTCAAATATCAACACATAAGTCAAAATGACAATATACATATAAAATTTATCACAAGTAGTATCACCATACTTAGGTTTTTCCTCTTACCTTTTCACCCCATTGTTCCCTTAACCTTTCCACACAAGTCCCTTGTCCCATTCATAAAGTAACTTTCTCTAGCTCTCACCTGGGTGCTAAGTTTCTCACTACTCTTGAGCTTCAGTCAGTTACTACTACTGGTCTCCTAGTTCACCAACATAGGTTTTTCAAACGCATGTCACCTGGGCTAACTGCTGATTCTGAGGCAACTGTCCCTCAAAAAAAGTGATCCACTTACACTCTCCAAATCTGTTTTCAGTACTAATGGCTCATCTCTTTTTTTCTGCTCATCCATTTTCCTTTTCCCTGTTTCTGTATCCTCTGGTAACAGCTTCTGAATTTGATCTTCGGAGGTTTTCTCCTCTTGTAACTTTTCTTCTTTCATCTAAAAATACAAATCACACCAAGACAATAGAGTTTTAGGCAACTATAGACTTAAAATTTTTTTTCCTCAGTAGTGTATCAGAACAAACACCACATGGCAGTTTTGAGACTATTTTTTTTCAATTGTATAATATAAAGCCCTATTAAGTATTAATTAAGTCAGCTTTTATTTGACTCTTGCTAAGCATATGTTTCATGGCTTAAGATTTAACTGCTCTGCATTCTTGAGCAATATGAAACCATAAAAGCAAAGGTAATACACAATCAAAAAATAAAAGTTTATTTACTTAGCTAGAAGAGGCTGAACCTAAAAACTTTCTTATTCCCATAAACCAGATATAAACGTATTGGACCAGGAGAACAGCAGAGATGTAGGCTGCAGAGGGCTAGAGAAGCTGGCCTAAGCAAGACAGGTCTGTAGGCCTAGTAGCAAAAGTTCTAAAACATGACTTTATCACAGTTCTAATGTCCTACAATTTATGCTGTTATCTTGTGGTCCAGAGAATACGTCAAGATACATGACCTACAAAGAAATTTAAGGCAGAGGCATATGCGTCCTCATTTGGGAGAGGTAGCATGGCATTGTGAAATTAAGATGCGCTTTGGCCCTGGCTGTGAGGCTGAGTTGGTTGGAGCATTGTTCTGTGCATCTTTATAAAGGTTTCTGGTTTGATTCTGGTTAGGGCACATGCCTAGGTTGTAGGTTCGATCCCTGGGTGGGGCATGTATGGAAGGCAACCAGTCGATGTTTCTTTCTCACATTGATGTTTTTTTCTCTCTCTCTCTCCCTCTTTCTCTCTCTAAAAAAAAAATCAGTAAAACACATCTTCCAGTGAGGATTAAAACAAAAAAGATGGGTTTGGGAATGAAAACCTGGGTTTTAATGGTTCTGTAACTTATTTATCAGCTAGATGATCTTTGGCAAATGAACCATCATATGCTCACCTACAAAACAGAGATAATGCTATGGAAACTTTGCAGATACTGTTATAAGAAGCAAATAAGATAGTAAGTGTAAATGTTGTGTCTTGCTATGTCCTTATAGTATATAAATTTCTTTTCCTAATCTCCTTTTTATTCTCTTTTCACTGCCCAGGATTTTAATAAAATTTAAATGACAATGTATATTAAAGCAATTATAGGCTACTAATATTTTTATCATACTTGCAGGAAAATAAAGCTAAAGAACAAATAAATATTTTTCATTGGCTGTTGCCTTAGGGTTAGAAAAACAAAAAGCACAATAACAACAATAAAGATTTACTCTTATCTTTCTAATTTCTATAGGTCTGATTCCTATAAGCCTGAACTAGTCTTTAACACACTGAATCTAATTCATGAGGTTATGAATATTTAAAGAACACTATACACAATGTTATATCAGGAGGAGATTCAAGTGAAATAACATGCTCCCCTCTTCTCAAATCAAATGAGGGAAAAGAAGCAAATCCATATCCAGGGAAAAAGCAAACCTAAGTCCATGCTAACTGCCTACATGAAAGATCAGTGTCTTTTGTGATCCTATATGAGAAATTCTTCTTCAACAACTTAACTACCAGCTAGCTACACAAAGGGGCATTTCACTTTTAAAGGATGGAAAGGCAGACCAGCACAAAAGAGAAAAGGTTTTAGCATCAAAATAATTATCATGTACTGAACTTTTATGTGTACCTACTGAGCTAAGCACTATATATACATTATCTCACTTAAGAAAATGAAGGTTAAGAGTTAGGTTAATGTGTTCAAATTCATAGAATCATAGCCCTAGAGCTGGAACTCAAATCTAGGTTTATCTCAATGGTTCTCAACCAATGATTTTGCCTCTCAGGGTACATCTAGCAATGTCTGGAGACACTTTTGGTTACACTTAGGGGTGCAGTGTGTATAGCATCTAGTGGCTAGAGGCCAAAGATTGCTACTAAACATCCTAAATGCAGAGGATTGCCCCCATAATATATACACAGATGTTACAATTTAAAAAAAACTAAGTATTAAATTTCCTTTTACATATTTTAGTGTTAATTTTGTTTAGTGCTTAGTGATACTTATATACTATGCCCTCTGGCTTTTCTTCGTGCTTTAGAATGTATTCTTATGCTTCCTAATAATGTTTACCACTCCTCTCAAAGTTTGGACAACAGGCCTGTGTTTCTAGCAAAACCACCTTTTCATTACTGTGCTGAGTCTCTGCTAACACAACAATATTCTTAACAAAGCTAAAAATTTACACAACTGAAAAACCCATGTATCCATTTAAATCTTCACATGAGACTTCCAGCCAAGACGGAGGCATAGGTAGACACACTGTGCTTCCTTACACAACCACAAGAAGGACAACAACAATTTAAAAACAAAAAACAACCAGAACTGACGGAAAATCAAACTGTATGGAAGTCCAACAACCAAGGAGTTAAAGAAGAAACACTCATCCAGACCAGCAGGAGGGGTGGAGATGAGCAGCTGGGCAGAGAGGACTCGCAGCGAGGCTCCAGCTGGCGGACCGGGCAAGGTGGCAACGAGTGGAGCAGGTGGTCCCACATTCGTGTGCAGATAAACCAGGAGGAACAGCTGGGGAGCGAGACAGACCATGCAACCCAGGGCCACAGCGTGGAGAAATAAAGCCTCAAACCTCTGATAGAAAACACCAGTGGGTGTTGAGGCGGCAGTGGGAGAAACTCCCAGCCTAACAGGAGAGTTCATTGGAGAGACCCACAGGGTGTTAGAATGTACACAAACCCACCCACCTGGGAATCAGCACCATAAGGGTCCAATTTGATTGTGGGTAACACAGGAAGTGACTGAAAACTGGCAGAGAACAGAGCAAGTGCCATTGTTCCCTCTCGGACCCCTCCCCCACATACAGCATCACAAAGCAGGACATGGGTTGCCCTGCCCTGGTGAGCACCTAAAGCTCCACCCCTCACTACATAACAGGCACGCCAAGACCAAAAAAAAAAAAAAGAAAGAAAGAAAGAAAAAGAAATGGCCCAAATGAAAAAAGATATCAAAGCTCCAGAAAAAATACAACCAGGCGACAAAGAAATAGCCAACCTATCAGATGCACAGTTCAAAACATTGGTAATCAGGATGTTCACAGAATTGGTTGAATTTGGTTGCAAATTAAATGAAAAAAAAAATGAAGGCTACGCTAAGTGAAATAAAGGAAAATGTACAGAGAACCAATAGTGATGGAAAGGAAACTGGGACTCAAATCAATGGAGTGGAGCAGAAGGAAGAAAGAAACAACACAGAAAAGAATGCAGAAACAATTTTAAAAAAATGAGGAGAAGCTTAGGAACCTCCAGGACATCTTTACACATTCCAACATCCAAATTATAGGGGTACCAGAAGGAGAAGAAGAAGAGCAACAAGTGGAAAAGTTATTTGAACAAATAATACAGGAGAACTTCCCCATTCTGGCAAAGGAAATAGATTTCCAGGAAGTCCAGGAAGCTCAGAGAGTCCCAAAGAAGTTGGACCCAAGGAAGAACACACCAAGGCACATCATAATTACATTACCCAAGATAAAGATAAGGAGAGAATCTTAAAAGCAGCAAGAGGAAAGGAGACAGTTACCTACAAAGGAGTTCCCATCAGACTGTCAGCTGATTTCTCAAGAGACCTTACAGGCAAGAAGGGGCTGGAAAGAAGTATTCTGAGTCATGAAAGGCAAGGATCTAAATCCAAGATTGCTCTATCCAGCAAAACTTTCATTTAGAATAGAAGGGCAGATAAAGTGCTTCTCAGATAAGGTCAAGTTAAAGGAGTTCATCATCACCAAGCCCTTATTATATGAAATGTTAAAGGGACTTATCTAAGAAAAAGAAGATAAAAAACACGTACAGTAAAATGACAGCAAACCCACAATTATTAACAACCACACCAAAAACTGAAACAAAAACTAAGCAAACAACTAGAACAGGAACAGAACCACAGAAAGGGAGATCACATGGAGGGTTAGTAACAGGGGAGTGGGAGGAGGAGAGAGGGAGGGAAAAGGTACACAGAATAATAGATGGTAGGTAGAAAATACAGGGGGAGGGTAAGAATAGTATGGGAAATGTAGAAGCTAAAGAACTTGTAAGTATGACATATGGACATGAACTAAAGGAGGGGGGAATGTGTGGGTGGGAGGGGGTGTGCAGGGTGGAGGGCAGTGAAGGGGGAAAATGGGACAACTGTAATAATGTAATCAATAAAATATACTTAAAAAATAAAAAATAAATCTTCACATGAATCATGTTGTTTTCTCTATGCTGGGTTCTGTAGTTTTTTGGTTTTTGGGTTTTTCCCCCCCTTTTATAAGGACTTGAGAACTTGGTCTCTGGGAAGGAATTTTTATACTCAGGGAATATGCCTCTGAGAGTAGCATGCAAATTTGAGTAGGAAATATCAATAGCTGCTGTTTATTAAACTCTTCTATGTTCCAGGCATTAAGTTTATAGAGTTTACCTCATTTAATCCTTAAGGGCTCTGTTTGTATCTATCATCATTTTATATACACAAAAATTAACACTCAGTGGTTATTTCCCAAAGTCACAGGGATTGAATTTTATAGCAAACCATTGGGTTCAGATGCCAGGGTGTCTCGACCTCAGCATTACTGACATTTTGGGCTGGTAATTCTTTGGTATGGGGGGTAGGGAGCTGAGCAGAGTCTCAGAAGAAGGCTTTTATGCGTGAACACTGGTCCAGTCATTGCCTACAGAGGACAAAATAAGAAACTCTATGAAATGCATGTCAAGACAGTCTGAAGTGAGAAAAAAGGAATCATATATCTATTGACTCCTATACTTCCCAATGTCCAAAGTTTGCTCTTCATGGTGTCAAATGCCTCTCACGTTAGTTTGTACAACTTGGGTAAATTCCCATGGTAGGTACTGCAGCTCCAACAACAGAGAAGTCCTAGGGCTAAATGCAAGAAGCAAGCAGTTGGCCCTTGAACAAGGAGATTCCAGGTTGTACCAAAGTGAAGCTGCCCACTACTATAAGTGGAATGAT